CCCCAGAAGAGTCAGCCGGTGGGGGGGGGAGGGAAACAACGACCCTGGGGGGAGTGGCAGAGGGGGTCCCAGGTATTTCCCTCCCCTTTCCCCCCAGAAGAAAGGAAGGGGAAACCATTTCTCTACCTCGAAAACCCTGGAAAGGGTCACCATCTCTCCAGAGTGACTTGCATGATGGGGACGAGTCGTCGTGGTCAGCCGGCTGGATCACTCCCCGGTTGGGGGTCTGTGGCCGTAGAGCCACAGGTGGGCAGCTGGACGGCTCCCCGGGGCGGGGGGGGGGAAGAGCCAGGCCTGGGGTGTGTGTGCCTTGGGCCAGCTGCACACGAGTCCCAGGGATTTCCATCCAGAAGAAGGGAAGGGAAGGGTCGACCACTTCTATAGATTCTCTGCCTAGAAACCCCCCCCTGGAAAAGAGTTGTCCTAAGTCAGAACTTAGTCCCTAAGTCCCCAGAGAAGAGGACAGTGGAGATGGCTGGACAGTGTCATCAAAGCGACCATCATGAACCTGGTAGCCAGCTGCACACGAGTCCCAGGGATTTCCATCCAGAAGAAGGGAAGGGAAGGGTCGACCACTTCTATAGATTCTCTGCCTAGAAACCCCCCCCTGGAAAAGAGTTGTCCTAAGTCAGAACTTAGTCCCTAAGTCCCCAGAGAAGAGGACAGTGGAGATGGCTGGACAGTGTCATCAAAGCAACCAACATGAACCTGGTAAAACTCTGGGAGGCTGCGGGAGACAGGAGGGCCTGGCATGCTCTGGTCCATATGGGGTCTCGAAGAGTCGGACAAGAACAAGTCAGAGCTGGTTGGACAGCACCGTGGTTGAAGCATCAGGTTGTGGAGCCAGAGGTTTGATCCCCCCACTCACCCATCCACCCTTGCCAACCTCCTGGGAGCCGAGCCAGCCTGGGTGACCGTGGGCCAGCTGCACAGTCCCAGAAAGGTCTCCAGAAGAAGGGAAGAATAAGCCATCGTTGAATATTCTCAGTTTAGGATTTGACTCGTGCTGATTCTTCGGGGAAGTCCTCTGGGGCGTTACACGTGTTTTCCCAAAATTGCTAACTGAATGCTTTTGTTGACTCTTGAATGGAGATTCACACATTCAGCCTTCCCGTCACCTGCATGGCTCCTCTTTCTGGAGAGCGCTGACTTAGGGAAGGCTGGAACAGGGGAATGGCTGTTAACATTGGGATATGGACTTTTTTGTGAAGATGACTTGGTTCACAGAAATGCCACACACACGGGTTGTACATTCCTACGCTTGTTGGGATCAATAGACTCTTGTTGGTGATGAAAATACTCTGGGTTCATGTTTTCTTGAAAATGCAATTTTTTTAAATTAAAAGGACCCGTGGGTCTTGAATGTGCAGCTCAGAACATGGCTACTGAGCATGCAGTTATGTTCCACGTAGCCTGGCTGAATTATTTCTGGCAGCTAAGATTTTTTTTTGGTTAAAATTAGAAAATTTCACAGTTATGTGTCTGTCTCTCATTTACAGAAAAATGGAAGGTTTCTAAATACCTTATGAACCTTTGAACAAATCTGCATTTTAAAAATTCCTTTTTTGGACTATTTATTTATATACCACCCGTGTAACCAATGGTTACTCTGGGCAGTTTACAACCACCTCAAGACATAGAAACAACTTAATCAAATGTATTGAACATGTCCCCTCTTTCTTTTTTTTAATTCAGTCTTTCCAGCTGGCTTGAGTTGCGTGAAGAATTATTGATGGGCTGCTGACTTCAGAAAAGGAGGATGTCTGAAGACGAGGAAAAGGTTCATCTACGTCGCCTTGAACCAGCTATCCAGAAGTTTATTAAAGTCGCCATTCCAACGGATCTTGAGAGATTGAGGAAGCATCAGATAAATATTGAAAAGGTTGAGTTGGTTTCTTTATCTTAAAAAAAAAGAGTTTGTGCCTGCATAGTGGAAGATGGTCAGCCAATGTTGATCAGATCTAAGCAAAGCCGAAAGCACTATTTTGGTTGGTAATACAGTGGTGCCTCGCAAGACGATGTTAATTCGTTTCGCGAAAATCACTGTTAATCGAAAACATCGTCTTGCGAAACACATTTTCCATTGAAATGCATTGAAAACCTGATAATCCATTCCAATGGGAACGGATTGTCATCGTAAAGCGAAAATTGCCATAGGAAACATCGTTAAGTGAAATGCGGTTCCCAAGCGAAGACAGCCATCTAACGAAACAGAGACCATTAAAAGACTCGTATAGCGAAGCAATATCAAGCTGTCAAAAACATCATAAAGCGAAAAACAGGGACCTAAAATTTAACCGTCTTGCGAGGCAAGGTCCCTAACATTGTAAAGTGAAAATCGCCCATAGGAAACATTGTTAAACGAAGCGCAAGATCGTTCCGAAAACCTCATCGTAAAGTGAATTCATCGTCATGTGAAGCAATTGTCTTGCGAGGCACCACTGTAGTGAGACTTTGTATGAAAGTGTGTGACTGAGTGAATCCAGTCCAAAGTACTGCTGGCTGAATGATAAGCCCTGTTGACTTCTGTGTTCTATATCAAGAGTGTGTGCAAACGAAGAGTGTCCTGTCCGTAGGTGCAAGCAGTGTCGCAACGTAAACCAGTAATCACCTACATCTTTTGCACAACCTTGGTCTCTGGTGGAGTGCTGATGAAAGCTATGAGCAGTCTTTATCCAGTAGATGCTTATTTGTATTCTTGGCAAAAGCACTTTTCTTCACAATCACGCAGCGGTGGGGGCGAGATGGGTCTGCTCTCTTTGTTTATCCCGATCCCTGTGAAGTAGGTTAGTCTGAGTGCCATTGACTGGCCCTCGTTTAGTATGCTTTGAGCCAGATTGGGGATTTGATTCTGGGTCTAAGGGACGTGGTGGCACTGTGGGTTAAACCACAAAGCCTCTGGGCTGCAAGGTCGGAAGACCAGCCGTCGTAAGATCGAATCCATGTGACGGAGTGAGCTCCCGTCGCTTGTCCAGCTCCTGCCAACCTAGCAGTTCAAAAGCATGTTAAGATGTGAGTCGATAAATAGGTACCACCACGGTTGGAAGGTCATGGCGTTCCGTGTCTAGTCGCGCTGGCTACGTGACCACAGAAATGCTCTGGGCTGCAAGGTCGGAAGACCAGCCGTCGTAAGATCGAATCCATGTGACGGAGTGAGCTCCCGTCGCTTGTCCAGCTCCTGCCAACCTAGCAGTTCAAAAGCATGTTAAGATGTGAGTCGATAAATAGGTACCACCACGGTTGGAAGGTCATGGCGTTCCGTGTCTAGTCGCGCTGGCTACGTGACCATGGAAATGGTCTTCAAACAAAATGCTAGCTCTACGGCTTGGAGACCGGGATGAGCACCGTGCCCTAGCATTGGATATCACTGGACTAAATGTCAAGGGAACCTTTATCTTCCCTGGAGTTAAATCTTGTAATGTATTGCATCAGCTTTTATACTTTAAGCTAGATCTTTTAAAAATTCCACTTTTGTACTACAGCTCACAGAATCCCCCAGCTGCTATATAACCTCTGGTCCTGCTGGCTGGAGCATTATGGGAGTTGTAGTTTAAAATAAAGAGAGTAGAGTGCCCAAGCTGTGGTTTAAGCTCCTTTGCAGTTGAGAGAGGGAGCAGGTACCTCTTGACCAGGCTGTGCTTTCTCTTTGGTAATGTGGATTGATTTGTATCCACATATGTCTGTTTTCTAATTGATGGTGGGAACTCCTGTTGCCTCAAGCGTGTGATAGTCACTATCTCTGCCCGAGATCAGAACTTGGGAAAGTTACTGATTTGGACTCCAGCTCTGAGAAACCCCCCCCCAGCTCTCTTTAAGACCACACAAAGTCCCAAGAATATACAATGTGCAATCACATTATTTCTCCTTTCTTTGTTACCCTCTAATCATGAGCATGGTGAAAGATGCCTTCTCTGTTTGCTTTCAGTATCAGAGATGCAGGCTGTGGGGCCGGTTGGATGAAGAGCACATCAATGCAGGCCGTACGGTCCAGGCAAGTGTTGAATTCTCACAGGGTGAGCCCCGTGCGGGAGAAGTTTTTTTCCTTTCGCTTGATACACTGTCCGTCCTGTCAAGGGCGCTGTAGGAATGGTGCAGGAACACAGTGAGGCACCGTATGTGCTAGATTAAAATATGCCTGATGTAAAAGCCATCTTGTATCAGGTATATTTATAAAGAAGAACAACACAAAGCCTGAAAAATAGGGTGGAATGAGAAATAAGTGTGGAAGTTCTACCCTTGAACTCCCCTTGATTTGGGCATCACATCTGTTTCAGAAGATGGCTCCCTAGAGTTGGATCGGGTGCAGCTAAGGGTTTATATTCCCCCGTCTCCCACATCCCTTTGTCTGTGATGTCTGTGTTGTTTGATTCCCAAACAAATCCATATTATGTTGTGACATGCCTACATCATCTGCTGAAGGTGGCAACAGTCTACACGACCTTAGGCTAAATAAAACTTGTTAGCCTTTAACGTACCACAAGGTTTTGGTGCAAGAGACTCTTTCTGAAAAATCCATATAACTCTCTTTGTAGCTGGATCCCCCCCCTTTTTTTTTTTTTGCAAACTGAGCTAATTTCCTGAGTGATCACTTTATCTGTTTTTAAATTTTTGTATGTCACATAAAAATTCCCACTTCCGGTATAAAATGAACTGGTCTAAATTCAAATTATCTTGGGGGGGGGGAGACACCAGACATGCTTAAAAGAACCCTTATATAGTACATTTACATGCTTGGCTACATGACTGAAAAGGATCCTTGTTCACAAAACGTAACGTCTTTTATGCCTCAGACAGAAAAACAAAAAAAGTTAAACCTAGGCACTGTTTCTGAAGGGAGGGATGTTTGCCTTTATGTCTCTTGCATGGAGGATGAATTGTTTCGAAAGATGGAAAGGGAGAAAACAAGGCTTTTTTTGCGTCATGTGTTTCTGAAGTCATTCTAAAGAGTCCCTCTGAATTGTTCCAGCAACTGCGAGCGAATATCCGAGAGATGGAGAAACTTTGTTCCCGAGTCCGGAAGGAAGACATCCAAGCTTTGCAGAGAATGATTGACCCAGTGAAAGAGCAGGCCCCGCTCGCCGTAAAAGGGTTCCTACAGCTCCATTCAGAGTCTGCAGAAGAACTTAAAAAACAGTTCGGTGAGACCGAGGGGCCTTTAACCAGATCGACAACTGTAGGAGCAGGTATCGTGAATTGGTGTCTGTAGAGGTCAGTCTATCTGTAGCATAAGGAACCGGTTGACATTTCTGGAATGGGGTGGAAACACAAAAACAGTTGAGACTGCATGCAATAATAAGATGTTGAGAATCAGAACTTGCAGCAAAGAGGAAAAGTAAAGGAGGATTTTGCTTCTGCCTGCCGAAACTTTACCTTGGACGCTCATAGAGTTAAAAAAGAAAAACTGGAAGCATTCTAGTCAGATGTTTAAATAGCAAAATGCAAAAGATCATATCTCCACTGGACTGTACGTTTTTTCACCTACATGGAATGGCTTTTAAAAACAAGTTTTGTCTGTAAAACACAGCCGGTATTTCAGACTGGATTGTGAAATTTTATGTGTGTGCTGTGGTGAATGTAGAAGGCTGAATTGGTCACTGGCACAAAACTTTCCCCCCTAAATGTTCTGGCACTTGAAAATATATGTAGATTGTTCTATAGGGTGCCCATTTATTATTTCATCTTTTCTAGATCATTGCCAGTCTGCAGGATAGGCACCAAATGTTTATCTAAGGCTGTTCTTCTAGGGACACGTAAAAAAATTGCCTTGAACTCAGGGTGGCTGACTTCCATGGAAAGTGTTTTAAGGTGCTCTGTGCGTCTGTGCGTTGGAGAGGGGGACTGTATACCTTTGACCAGGAATTGCAATTTTTTTTTTTAGTGCTTGAAAGCCAGCTGCATATTCTGGGTGTTGTCAGTTGAGAGGCTTCTGAAGAGTTTGTGTTCCAAAGTAGAAGGGATATTATACTCTGCACCTACTCAGAGCTGCGTTTCCTAATCTGTTGGTTGTATATCTGGGTGGAGTTTTGTGTGTGTGTGTGTGTGTGCATGGGCCATAGTCTGTGTTTGCTTCCTACTACTACAGAGGAGAGCTACTGAGGACAGGCGGTTATGGAGAGCCCTCCTTCATAGGATTGTCATGAGTCAGAAATGACTTAAGGGCATGTAACACCACCAACAAGGAACTTTCTTCTAGTCACTTAGGCTGAGACTCGGAAGAACTTGAGAAATGTCACCTTTTTTTGGACTGTGCTGGCGGCTGGCCTGAGGGAACTGTCATCCCAGAAAGATTTTTTTCCCTGAGCAGTGCTGCAAACATGAGATGGAACCAGGGCAATTCACTCGAAAAGGCTTTGCCTTCTTTTATGCGGCTGAGCTGTTTTCTGAACCAGAGAGGCATGAATTCAAAGCGGTCCTTGTTTTGCACTCTCCGCTCTGGGCATCCGCTCAGTTTCGGGCAGCAGTCTTTGCTCCCCCCTCTTGGCGGCCACCCGGAGCCATCCAGAGGCCTCGTTCAGACATCTCTCTGCCGGCTCTCCTTGGCTGCCCTATAGGCTGGGACTTGCCCGTGGGAATGCCTCCTTGCTTCCTGTTTATCCTCGATCCTTGCCTTTCTTTCCATGAAGCCTCGGGCATCCTTCTCCTCCAGTTTCTGTGCCTCACCGTCATTAAGCCTTTTCTACATCGCTTGAACTGGCCCGACCACCGTTGTTCTCCCCGTTGTGTCCCTTTTTAGATGGCAAACTCTTTGGGGTGGGAACCCTGCCCTTTTGTACTGCGCATGACAACAGTGTGACCCACGCAGGATGGAATCGTACTGCTTATTTATCCTGGCGCAGTACAGTGGTGTAAATCGCAGTGGCCAATTGCTGCTAGTGAACAAGGCACTGCCAGGATGACTTATTTTGTTCCCGTCACGTGACGAAGAATACAGGTAGCAACTCATTATAACATAATAATCATCCTCTTAAAGGTGCAGAGCTGGAAGGGTCGATGTGGATCATCCAGTCCAGTCCTTGGCAAGGAGGCCCTAAGGGGGGATTGAACACCCAAACTCTGGCTCCCCAGCCAGAGACCTCAGCCACTGAGCTGGTGGCATGTTCTCTTCTGCTATTTATGTCATTGCACTTAGACCTGTGTAAGTAGTCAGCAAGGTTCTGGCCAGAATTACTTACTCAACAGCAGTGGACTTGGATCGTGTCTATGGGAGGAGAGGGTGGCTTCGTATGACGGTCTTCGTGTGACTATCGGCGCCAGGTCAAAACCTTCCTGTTCCAGAAGGCTTTTAATTGAAATAATACCAACTGTGGGTCCTGATGGCGTTTTTTAGAGTATCTATTTTAATTGTATTTTAATTCTTTTATCTTTTTATTGTATTTCAATTGTATTTTAATTGTTATAAGCTGCCCAGAGACCTTTGGGTAGAGTGGGCAGCATATAAATTAAATCAATCAATCAATCAGTCTTGTGGCATTCCTAAGCCTTTGCAATGTTTTCACTCAGAAACGTTTTATCACCCGGGAGACGAAGTACCTTCTCCGCATTTTACCCAGATGCTTTCCCCGCTCCCCGAGATTCCCCAGGATCAAAACGCTGCAGAGTCTTGGGAGGTTCTGGAAGAGGTAGATATGGCTCGGCATTCCTCTCTCGTTGTCCTTTCCTTTCTGGTTATGATCTTAGCAACAATTTGGGGCTTTCATTACAGGACCTGATTGAACTCAGCCATCTGGTGACCGACTTTTCTCTGCTAGTTAATGTAAGTACAGCAAAGACTTTTTCTGAACATTTGCTTCCGAATCCTAAATAAAGTGAAAAACAAAATGTGGTTTTAGTGCATATCGTTTCAACACGATAATGTACTGAGCTGCATTTTAGCATTCGTGACTCGGGTCTATCTTTTAGCGGGACCTATTTTCGTCTGTCTTTCCTTGTGCTTCTTTCCAGTTTTGTCCTCTTGAGTCCCAGTCCTGGGGGGAAAAGGTGGGATACCTGGTGGATAGATCACTAAAGTAAATCCTGGTTCCTTTGCCTCTAGGCTCAGCAGGAAAAGGTGGACAGGATTGAAGACAACGTCAACACCGCTATTGCGAATGTTGAAGAGGGGACCAAGAGCTTGTCCAAGGTGAGGCCCTTTCTCCTGTCAGTGAGGCTGGGGGCTTTCTCCCCCCCCCGCCCCGGCAGCCTCCTGTTTTGATTCAATTGCCTTTCCTGGGAGACCACCAAGTACTTTGAAAATAAAGGAGGAAATGAGGGCACACGACTACATAGGGGGAAGGGAACATGGGTCATGTTGTCACCTCAAAAAGTAAGGATCGTTGCCAACTTGCAATGGTTCTTTCCCCTTGGTTGGTCCTTAAAGAGGAGAGGGATGGTTTGTTTTGAGCAGAGGTGGGAATCAACAAGCAACAGTCACTTTCTACATGTTTTTTGGAACTGGGAAAAGTGCCCCCCTCCCCCCAGACTCCCTTCACCCAGAATTCCCGTGCCAGTGTGGTTGATTCTGGGAGTTTTCTTCCAAAGAAGGCGACTTCTCAGGTCTGTCCTCGGTTTCTACCCAGTCTTCCTGGGGGACGTGGGCTAAAGACATTCTCTCCGTTTCTTCCTGTTTTCGGTGTCTGAGCCCCTTGTATCGGTTCCTCCGCAAGGGACCTTGTGCCCCACTGGTCTTGCCAGTTGAATGGCTGTCTCCTCTCTCCAGCCATCTGAGTCCCTTAACAAGACACGTCCTCCTCCTCCTGCTGCTCCTCCTTCCTTCGCCAGCCGGTCCCTCTGTCAGCAGAAGTGATCCTGGAGATTTCTTTGGGTGCAGCCCAGCCAGTGTCTCTTCTTCTGATCGAAGTCTTCCACTGGGAAAAGAGGAGGGAGATGGTTCCCCTTCCCCATGCGTTCTGTGAGCAGCACGTTGCTCTGACGTCTGTGTGTGGCCATCTTTAAAAAGCGATCAGGTTTTACCCTTGATGGGTCACTTGGTTCAAATCTGGATTATCCAGCCTCTTCCTGCAGATACCTGCTCTTCTGAAGCTTTCCCTCACTCCTCTTTTTTTTTTACCCCCCCCCAGGCTGCCAGATACAAGCTGGCCGCCCTCCCTGTGGCAGGGGCCCTCATTGGCGGCGTGGTAGGGGGCCCCATCGGACTCCTGGCAGGCTTCAAAGTGGCGGGCTTAGCGGCCGCGCTCGGCGGGGGAGTCCTGGGCTTCACCGGCGGAAAACTGATCCAGAGGAAGAAGCGGAGGATGATTGAGGAGCTTTCCTGCAGCTGCCCAGACCTCGCCAGGGAAAATGACAAAAAAGGCAGCTGAAGTTGGCGGTCTCTCTCTCTCTCTCTCTCTGTTTGTGTGTTTCTCTCTCTCTTCTCACTACCTCTTCCTGGCCACTACTGTGGCCCTCGCTCTTGGAATTCGGCCCAGCCTGTGAGAACGAGTCAAGCCCTGGTGTTTTCTCCTGCCAAGGAGGTGGAAACGATGGACCCTGACAGACTTCTGGGATTCACGCAGAAGATCCGTTCGTTTTTGAGTAAGAAGAAAGGCACGATTCAGCCTTAAATGACGGGGGAGGCAAGCCTGAGGATGGGGTTCAAAAGAGCCCCTTTTTTGTCTTCCTTCCTCTTGTGCCAGACTTGAAGATAATCGTAATATTCACCACATGCCTTTTCCTACTATAAAATGGAAGGGAGGCGAGGAGAGAATTTTAAGACATAATATGGTTTGGTGCTTAAGCAGCTCTTCCTTCAAATATTTTATTCTGCTCACGTACACAAAGGTCAACTTGGGTTATTTTTCTACTTCTCGGCTGGATCTGTAGAGGTGGCTGTTCATTCTTTTGTGGTCTCGCGCCTGTGTGTGCCACACACACACACACACGCGGCCACCTTCTCCTTTTCTGGAGAACTACATGCTGGGTTTTCTTTTTAATAACCACAGAGTTGCCCCTCGTTTTAATGTTGGTGATTCTGGGGCAGGAGGCCAGCTCTCTTTATAAAAAGGGGGGCGGGTGGGCTTTGAGAAATGATCGGAACTGGAATGCGTGTAGGCATTTTCACCATGGCCAACGGATCTTCAAAACCACCTTCCCCAGTCTGTCCCTGGTTATTTTGAGGAGGTTTTTCTTAGTTGGACTTGGGTAGGGTTACAGCTCTTCATCTTTGACTGCTTGTTTGACTGCGCCACGATTTCTCCGGGAGCCCCCTTTCCCATTGCCGTGCCAGCTGAGAAGCGTTAAAGGGAGGAAGAACCATCTGTCAACAAGGATGCCAAACGATGCCAACCGGAACCCCTTGCTCACCCGGAAAGCAGAAAGTGACTCCAGTTTTTCTGGAGTCTCTGGATTCAGAAAAAAAAGTAAAGGTTGTGGCTTATAAAGTCCCCTCAACTTTTATAAGAAAAGTTTTATTAGACACGGGTACAAGTTGTTGCCACGCGCCCCTTTTGTGACATGCGTGGGCCAGACTTCTGTGGGTTATTGACCCCAGTGGAACTGCAGGGGCACAAATAGTGGCCACTGTAGTTTGCCCCATGGCCCTTACGCTGGTGTAACTAACCCATAGGATTCTGGCTCCTACCTGCAGAGACTCTTTTCAGAATCTCCCTTGTGTCCTGCGTGGGCCTCGAGTTACAGAACGAGTCTGGGCCACGTGGCCCTTGCAAAAGGATTTGTTCCCCCAAATGCCGTGGGGGGGGGGAAACGAATTCTGTCGAATGCCAAACTTCCATGGCTTTTTGTTTTTGCTCCTCCGATATTGCCTTTTCTTCATCCTGCCAAAAGAACAGGAGCCGAGGGTAAGAATTTGAGCGGGATTTTTATTACCTTCTGTTTGTGGTTACAACCCCGTGTTCAGCAAGAACGTTCTTCCCAGTGGAAATGGAAGGGGTGGCGGGAAATGTGTCCTGTATGCAGATTATTAAGCAGAGCACAAAACTATTTTATCGAGTAATATTTATCTGTGCTGGGTTTCTAAATGACATGTAATATATATATAAAAAACAAAAACAAAAGATCTTTAGAGTACCATTATTTGGGTTTCAAACACTGAGGGGTTTTAAGAACGGGTTTTGGAGTTTGGCTTGGCAAGTTGGGCAGTCGGGCACTACAAGTAGACGGTATAATATCAAAAACGTTTGTATTTCCTTGGGAGAGAGACTCTCTCCAACCACTTTTTTGGACAGTGAGGGCATGAGAAGTACATAAGACAAAGGAGAGGGGTGCATTTGGGATCGGGTGAGCTTTGCCCCACAAATCAGAATTCTGCAAGAGAGGAAAGTTCCTAGGGTGACCGGGCAGAGAGAAATGAGCTGCTAGCGGTGTGGGGCGTCTTTGATACGACTCTTTGTCCTTTCTAAGCCCTGCTTCTCTTGTGCCGGTTACCAGCCTCTTACCTCCTGGGTCTTTAAAACTCTTCCGCCTCTAACTGAGTTGAGATTAGGAATTTAGTTAAACCACCTGTTAGGTGGTGGTTTAGATGAACTGTGAGATACCATAGAATGGCCGATCTAGGCATCAACAGAATACCGGTATGAGTTCTGGGACATCACGGGCTCTTGACATCAAACAACGAGTCCTGCATGTTAAAGGGAGCATCCACCAGGTAAAACGTTTTGGCTTTAATTTGACTTAAACAGACTTCCTGGTCTCTGTTGGCTCGGGCATGTCGTGAAAATGGCTGATGGTCGGATTTCAAAAGATCTCCTATATGGAGAATGAGTGCAGGGAAATTGCCCCAGAGGGAGACCCCAGCTGCGATACAGTACAAGGAGATCTGCAAGCGGGATCTGAAGGCCTTAGGAATGGACCTCAACAGAGGGGAAACCTTGACCTCTGAGCGTTCAGCCTGGAGGCCGGCGGTGCATCACTGCCTCTCCCAATTTGAAGAAACCCTTGTCCAGCAGGCCGAGTCAAAGAGGCAATCCTGAAACCAGCAAAATCAGGGAGCTGGACAGGGGACAGACTGTGTTTCTCTTCAGTGTGGAAGGGATGGTCACTCTCGAATTGGCCTTCTCAGCCACACTAGATGCTGTTCCAAGGCCTCTATTCAGAGCACGTTACCATAGTCTCTCGAGACTGAAGGATGCCTACAAAAACAGGCGGTTGTACTGAATTCCTAATCCCAATTCTGTTCACATGCAGGCCTTGCTACTGGGTATCCTTCTTTCCCCCAGCTAAAGAAAGTTTCAGAAAGGGGGAAAGAGGGGGCCCCCGAGATTGCCTCCGACTGTCCTCTGTCTCAAGAGATGGGCGATCCTTTGCAAATGGCTAAGTGAAGAAGATCTTGCAGCCCACATGCTTGCTGCAGCTGCTTCCATCTAAGAAGCTGGAAACAGCGCATCCATTTGGAACATAACCACCTGATGCACAGCCTTGAAGAAGATGACTTATCATTGAAAACTCACTGTTGGTTTTGTGTTGGCTTGTTTTATATTCTCAATGGTTTTATTAAAAATATCCCCTACTCTTGCATTTGTATGGTTTCCACAACCACACGGCCTTGTCCTGAATTTTCTAGTGGTGGAAACAAACAGGGAATCCTTTGTGACGGCTCAGCCTTGGGTGACCCCAGCTTTCCATTAAACCAGGGAATAATAGGGGGAGCAGGAAGAGATGAGAAGGGATTATTGGGCGAGCTAAAAAAAGCCAGAAGGAAAATAGCAGAAGATCTGGAAAAGCCAGGGTGAGGGAGACCGAGAAGGGTGAATACGGCAGGAGAGTAAAAGGATGAGCCGGAAGAGATTTCTAGTTGAAGCAGCAGTAGCAGGGAGAGGAGGAATACCCGTTTCGTTTCGTTTAGCTTTGTATGTATTTAAAATGCTTTGTATGTATTTAAAATATTTTTACCCTTTTCTCCTTAATAAGGACCCAACGTGGCTTACCTCATTAAAAGACAATATTTAAAAGCTAAAAATGAGAAATACACAAATATTAAAACGGAATAAAAACATGCCACACTAAGAAAGTTAAAATATTTATACCCTGCCTGTCTCCTCAAGAAGACCCAAGGCAGCTTACAATATGAAAAAAAAACAATATTAAGTTTGAGTCCCCTTATTGGAAAGGGGGTCTATAAACCAACTGACCAACTGGAAAAGAAAAAGAAAAAAGACAACTCTTAGGCAGCCAGTTGCTGAGCAGAAGCCTGCCTAAAGAGAAAGGTCTGCCTGCTTGCGGAAGGGCAACAAGGTTGGGGCCGGGCTGGCCTCCAGTGGGAGGGTGTTCCAGAGTTTCTGGCAGCAGCCACAGAGAAGGCCCTGTATCACATCCTCACCAAACACACCTATGGGAGTGGGTAGGACAGAAAGAAAGGCTACGTCTAATTATTTGAATACTTGGGCAAGGTTCATAAAGAGAGAGAGAGAGAGCTGGTCTTTCAAGTAGCTTGGATGGAAGTCATTTTAAGTGTTTAGCAGTTGAGACCAGCACTTTGTGGTGGAAATGATTTGGCAGCCCCTGGAACTTTTGCAACATGGGAGTTAGGTGGTCTCCGGTGAACAGTCCGGCTGCTCTGTTTTGGACGTGCTGAAGGTCTGAAACGCTATTCGGAGGCAGTCCCATGTAGAGTGTGTTACAATAATCCAAGGTGCGTGTGTGTGGGCTTGGATCAGATACCTCCAGGAACGGTACCGCTGGCGTTTTATCTGTGCAAAGGCATCGCCGGCCACTCATGGCGTATACCTGAGCCTCCAGGCTAGGGAAGGAATCCAGGAACACACAGTCACAACATTGTACACCAGAGGGGCAGGGGTTGGAGAAGTTGCCTCTTGAACCACAACTCTCAGAACACAGCTCTGCTCGCTGGGGAATTCCAGAAGTAACTTTTCTTGGTTCTAAAGAGAGGGTGCGTGAAATATGTGATTTGAAGAAAAAAGATTTTTTTAAAAAATAGAGAGCAGGAGGCGAAGAGAAAGGAATCAAAACCACCAAATATAAGTTCAGGACAACTTTGTTTGCAATAAAGGGAGCGTGACTGGGTCACACATGCTGAAACACCTGGGATTCTTTTTCCTCACCCCTGCATCGCCTCCGCTGTGCCGGAGGTGTTTTTCAAAATGTCATTGCATTTCCTTTGGAAAGCTTCTACTTCACTCCCACGTAAAGAAGCAAGACTTAATGACGGACAAATAGAAGAGAATGTATGAGAGAGCGAAACGTGTAATGCATAAAGTAGATGAATAAAACAGCAGAAAAGACGTGCATAAAAACTATAATATGTCCGGTCAGGAACAAATATCCTACCAGGGCATCTGCTAACTTCCTCCCCGTGACGTAACAGTGCCGTAGTTAAAGTTTTCGTCTCGCCGAGTCAGGGTTCTGATCAGAGTTTGTGAAATTGTTTTTTTGGGTTACTGTTGGCCAGATTTGGGGGATCTGGGGAAGAGCAGTCCTTCAGAATGGTGCTGCATGGTTAAACCACTGAAGTCTCTGTGCTGCAAGGTCAGAAGACCAGCCATCGTAAGTTCAAATCCACGTGATGGAGTGAGCTCCCGTCGCTCGTCCCAGCTCCTGCCAACCTAGCAGTTTAAAGGCATGTAAAATGCAAGTAGATAAATAGGTACCACCTCGGTGGGAAGGTAAACGGCATTCCGTGTCTTGTCCTGCTCGCCACGTGACCACGGAAACTGTCTACGGACAAACGCTGGCTCTACGGCTTGGAGACGGGGATGAACACCGCACCCTAGAGTTGGACACGACTGGACTCAATGTCAAGGGGAACCTTTACCTTTACCTAGTGCTTCAGAGTGGATTTTTCAGGCTCTGGTCTACTATGGGTCTTTCCCCGCCTCCTGTAGCACTTTTGAAACCCATGCAGACCTGGGGGCTGTCTGTTCTCTCCTTGTCTTGTCCAGTTTGAGACCCAAGAAGAAACCCTGGCTAAATTGGGGAGGGGGGCGTAAAACAAAAGAGAGCATGTGTATGCATGATGGCAACCAATTTATTTATTTATTTATTTGATTTATATCCTGCCCACCTGGTCTGGTCGACCACTCTGGGCGGCTTACAATAAAAAATATACAATAAACCATAAGACACATGCAATAATAAAACAAAAAATAAGTGAGAAGATAAAAGAAATTAAGTATTGACAGGAGGGAGTCTTATGGAACCAAGGAGTCTTATGGAAGAAGAATCAAATAGGGAGACGGGTTCGATCACAGATAAATGGAGTCAGCATAGAAACAAGAGGAGTCAATAAAATACCAGTATAATCAGAATGGGATAAAAAGAGTACCTGAGTCACAATGTTCGGAGGCCAAGTAGAAACAGATTGTGGAACAGGTGAGGCCTCACCTTGAGGATTGCGTCCAGTTCTGCACATGGCACTTTCA